AGAAAAGCAATGGACGTTTATAGCAAATAGTGTAGATATAGTCACCCCAAAACATCGTTACGTTAAAGTAGATTCTGATGGAAATATTGCAACTACTCGGAACAACAATAACGCTTTCTTTTTGACTATTTCTGGCACAAAAACTAGAGTATGTAAATTGTTCTTCAAAAACACTTTGGGAATTAATAACCGACCAATAGAAACAGCTCTCAAGAAAAAAAATAACGACACTAATATTTCTTCAATGAAAGATAACCGAGGTAGTCATCAGAATCATAACAAAGTGGATGAAGGCATAAAAAATGGCATCAAAATGTTTATTGAGTCTATACCAAAGATCGAGTCTCATTACATTCGAGCTAACTCAAAAAGACTTTATATTGATGGTAGCAAAGCTGTCACAGATCTTCATAGAGATTATGTGGAAAGATGCAAATCTCAGAACCTCCCCTATGGAACATACATGATGTTTTATCGTATTTTCACGCAAGATTTCAATATTTCCTTTTTTACGCCTTAAAAAGATTTATGCGACGTATGCGAAGCCTATAAAAACAGCACCAATGAAGAGAAAGAATCCATGAAACAAAATTATGAGAAACATCTTAGTGAAAAGACGTTGTCTCGTAATGAAAAGGAAAAAGATAAGAACAACAAAAATATTTTTGTCGCTGTCTATGATCTTCAGGCAGTGTTCCAATGCCCCAAAGGAGACGTCTCTGTTTTTTACTATAAGTCCAAACTTAATGTGCTTAATTTAACAATTTATAATTTACAAAATAATTTAGTTGAAAGCTATGTATGGGATGAATCCAATGCCAATAGAGGGGTTAACGAAATCGGCACTTGCGTTTACAAATATCTAGAGAAAATCTCTGCAACGGCTGAAGACCTTGATGTTGTCTTTTATTCCGATAATTGTGCTGGACAACAAAAAAACAAGTTTATGATCACAATGTACCTATACGCAGTAAAAACTTTGCCAAATCTGAAATCAGTTACACACAAATACCTCATTAAAGGACATACCCAGAATGAGGGTGATTCAGCTCACTCTCAAATAGAAAGAGAAGTTAAAAGGCAATTGAGATCAGGACCGATGTACACACCTGATGCGTTTATCGGTGCTATAAAGGCAGCACGGAAAAAGAGTGAACCTTTTCATGTTAACGAATTATGTTACGATGATTTTTTTGATTGGAAAAGTGTATGTTCTCAAATGAACTTTGCGTTATCGAAAGACGAAGACAATAAAGTTGTGAAACTAGCTGGACTAAAGGTTATAAGAGTTGAAAGAAACGATCCTGATTCCATATTTTTTAAAGAATCGTACGCTGACGAACTCTTCAAGAAAGCAATAGTTAAAAGAAAAAAGAAAAGTCACAATAACGAAACCTTTAATTTAGATTTGAAAAAGGCATATCTTCGTAAACCTGGCATAGCCGAAAGAAAAGAAGCTGATCTCATGGATTTGGTTAATAAGAATCTCATCCCCAGATACCATAAGCCATTTTATGAATCGTTGTAATTAAAGAATTACAACGATTCGTAAAATGGCTTATATCATTATAAGATGAAAATGTAGTAAAAATAATCAGTAAAGACTGATTAAATATAAATGTTTTTAGACTTATATTTTTTTAAAGTATTTAACTGCGCTATTTTGGCTGACTATTTTTACTAGTATTAAGGTAATTTGTGATACTACGTTTATGTAAGGCAAACATGTTCCTATTTTGAATAAGTCCTAATTATAAAAGAATCGGTGCCGTAATTATACGTAAGACGTTAATTTCGTTTAGACTGCACTAGAATATAATTCTTTTGTTTATTTGTTATTTGTATGTTTTTTTTATCTGTATGTAAGGGTAATTTTCAGTTACATAATAATTTTAAGGGAAGTACTTAGTTCCTATAATGCTACTGATCTCTTGTTAATTAATGTCAGTCAAAATAGCGCAGTTAAATACTTTTAAAAAATATAACTCTAAAAACATTTATATTTAATCTGTAAAGACTGAAGTAAAGACTGATTAAATATAAATGTTTTTAGACTTATATTTTTTAAAAGTATTTAACTGCGCTATTTTGACTGACATTATTTTTACTAGTATTAAGGTAATTTGTGATACTACGTTTATGTAAGGCAAACATGTTCCTATTTTGAATAAGTCCTAATTATAAAAGAATCGGTGCCGTAATTATACGTAAGACGTTAATATCTTTTAGACTCCACTAGAATATAATTCTTTTGTTTATTTGCTATTTGTTTGTTTTTTTTTATTTGTATGTAAGGGTAATTTTCAGTTACTTAATAATTTTAAGGGAAGTACTTAGTTCCTATAATGCTACTGATCTCTTGTTAATTAATTATCTGTCTTATTCCAATTTTATGTTATGGATGGTGGAAATAAACCATCATTTTGGTAAAATATTATCTTTGGAATTACAATATTTTTATGTTAACAATGATTTTTTTTAACTTATCACACTGCCTAACACGCGAATTAACACCTTCAATGTGCTATGCCAATATGTTACAAGCATTTTTTGACATATTTTCATAGAAAACGTGACATATGTTGCTGTTTTTTTTAACATCCAAATTTTATAGTAATAAGTTATTGAACTGTGATTTATTTGCTTATTTTCATAAAGTTCATTAACTTGTTTAACAAATTAATCATAATTCTACAGTAAAAATAACAATATTTTAGATTATATTTAAATGTTAATGTAAAAAAATCGCCTCCCGAAAAATTGCAGTTTTAGAAATATCACGTTGACATCGCAAAGAGGCGACATTTTGCCTCATAATTTTGCAATCGAATTATGCTGTGCTTCTATATTTAAAACTAGGGATACGCCCCGGCTTTGCAAATGTTTTAAGGTGAACTTAATTTGACCGCGATAAATGAGTAGGATAGTGAAAGAATTTTTGAAATTGGTCCAGTAGTCTTTGTGTTTATTCGTAACAAACATGCAAAACATAATACTTATTTTTCCTCTAATGTTAGTATAGATATTCATATAGATAAACATTACGCCGTAGCATTCGCACGAATGTTTTAATTTACTGATGCAAGTTTTTTTTTTATATTATAGGGGCATACGAGCAGACGGCTCACCTGATGGTAAGTGATCACCGTCGCCCATGGACACTTGCAACACCAGGAGTATCACAAATGCGATGCCGGCCTTTAAGAAAGGAGTACGCTCTTTTTTTGAAGGTTGTTGGGTCGTATCGATCCGGAAACACTGCTTATCTTTTTTTTGTTTTTTTTTAAAGTTTTATCCATTATTAATGGTAGGGGAACCCAAGCGGGGAGTTTTGGATTTACTCGAGTGCGGCAGAATAACATAAAGGGGGCAACCCTGCACCTTGTGAAATACTCCCACTATACCTGAACCTTTTATATAGGCACGTCGCACGTCTAGGGATAAAATACATTTCAACAAACAGCTATGTCTTTTGATCGTGTTCAAATCGTCAGTCTTTTGGATAGGAGCTAGGAAGGGTTGACTTTACCGGACCTGCGCTTTTAACCGCCTAGAATCCTAGATGATATTCAAAAGTTCCCAGAAATTGTACTATTTATATACAGATGCTTGTAGATCTGCAACTTTGTATTTGCGCTTTGTGATGTAACTATTGAACCCTACATTGCACGTGGCCTGGCACGCGTTTACCCGTATTTTAGGGTTCCGTACCTCAAAAGCAAAAAAACGAAACCCTAATAGGATCACTGTTGTCCATCCTTCCGTCTGTCAAGACCGTTTTTCGCGGGAACGCGTGGAGGTATCAAACTGAAATTCATATCTAATACACAGGTCGAGTGTTCCTTGGAGCTGTGAAAAAATCAAACTTCTAAGCCAAAGCAATCAAAAGATACAGCCGTTCTTGCCGCAAATTTTCGAAACTCGCATGGGAATCAAAACCTGCAGGGTACTTCCCGTGAACTTAGAATCTCGAAATTGGGTACGAAGTAACTTCTTATAGTACAGATAAAGGAAAAATTGCGAAAACCGTAAATTTTTAGTTAAATCATATAAACTTTAAATCATAATTTTTATTATCAATAAACAAAATTCTGGTGATACACATTTAAAAATAAACTTAGTAATAGCTAAAGTTATAAAATAAAATCATATAATAAAAAATATTTTTGAAAATTCAGGTTTGTACGGAATCCTCGGTGCGCGAGTTCGACTCGCACTTGACTGGGTTTTTTTAATAGAAACTGTCCTCGCTCGTCCTACCTGTAATTGATTTTTACAAGACTGCTTAAAAGTGTGTGTAATGTTTTCATTTAAATATTACTGGCAGGTTCTCGTGAATTTGACAGTTATTATATTATTGTTTAATCTCTTTTAAGTCTTATTTTCTTGACAAAAAGTAGTGTCATGCCTTTCATCAAGGTCGTATTTATCTTTTTGAAAAATTCCTTAAAATCGTTGCAGTGCATGTTTTACGTGAAAGCTTAACATCCCATAGTTTAAATATTGACAGTTGCTTTACAGACAGGGTATAGTTTAAACATTGACAGTTGCTTTCGTAATTATAACAGGTCTTATTTATACGATGATAGGTAACCCAAAGCCGATCATAATAGAAGAATGCAATTAATGGTAAGGAAGTTGTAAGCTGTGGTATTTAATTGAATAATTGTGGTGACTAGTTATAGGGATAAGGTTTCTAATAATAATTATCCATAATATTTTCATCATGATAATAATCTAAGTAGTTCTTAAATGAAAATAAAATAACGTTCCCTGATTGTGTTCACGTATTTTCAGTTACAAATAACTACTTAATTCAATTTATGGGTACAGTTTTCAAATCTAACTAAGAAAACTGTTAGAGGTAATGGAATGACGCGGGACAAAACTCAAGAACAATCAAGTTGGCCAAGAATTATTTCGATTTATTTTATTTCATCCACCGAAATAAACACGATCATTGTCAACGAAAGCTCGTAAAAAAAACAAATAACACGTACCTTAGTGATAAAAGAATGCTTAACGCATTTTCTTCGCTCGGAAATGTACATTTTTTAAACTATTATTCTTATGTGATGACAAAGTCCAATCGTTCAGCCTCTTTGTTTACATGTCCAGTGCACAGTGTGGTCGTTAATGAATTACAATCGGCATGGCAAGACCGAGATGAGACTGTGATGTGTCAGCCATGCAATCCAATCAATGGGATCGGGGCTATAAGACTCGACAGTACTCGACCGAAATGTAAACAGCTGAGCTTTTATGCCTGTTTGGAGCTGTCAACAAAAGTAATAATGATCATGTTATAGTAAATATTTGGAAGATTGCACGTGGAATATTATAACAATCTACCTATAGTTTTTTGTAATTAAAAATAACGATTTTTGACCGTAGCCGTACGTACCCTGTACAGATACGGACGTACCGATGTACGTGACCATCTATATGTCGATAACGGAACCCAATTTTAACGAAGCCTCCGCTGTCCGTACGTTCCTCTACGGTTTATATATTTTGAATCATTGGTAGAAAGTAGGTACAGTTGTGATAAATAATAAATAAATTCACAGTGTAAACACAACATAACAAACAAATAATAAAAAAATAATATAGGTGTCGATTCTGGCATAATAAAATTGTTGAAGTTTGGTGTCATATTCTATTATATCCTCACAATCTATCAAAAAAAGATTTTAAAATGGCTAATAAAGATATTATAAACTACTTATATATTTTCAATTGTTATTTGGATTGAGAAATACTTCAAAAATACAATATATTATCTAAAGAAAATATAACTAGAAAAAATTCCACGCGGACCAGGCAGCAGACGGGACTCGAACCCGCACCCTTCGCAATCCGGGCGAATGCACTGACCAATTATGCTACCGCGGCCCTCACGGACCGCGTCGAAATTCTTTCTAGCTATTCTTAAGCTGCAGGGCAGCGCCATCTCTTCGCATTATAGGTAAACCCACAATGTCAAATGAATACTTTTACAAGTATTAAACATTTGAAAGAAGAAATAGCAATTATAGTTATAATTTTTATTATTTTTAAAGCATGTAACTGCTTGATGTTTAAATCTAAAGAAAATATAACTAGAAAAAATTCCACGCGGACCAGGCAGCAGACGGGACTCGAACCCGCACCCTTCGCAATCCGGGCGAATGCACTGACCAATTATGCTACCGCGGCCCTCACGGACCGCGTCGAAATTCTTTCTAGCTATTCTTAAGCTGCAGGGCAGCGCCATCTCTTCGCATTATAGGTAAACCCACAATGTCAAATGAATACTTTTACAAGTATTAAACATTTGAAAGAAGAAATAGCAATTATAGTTATAATTTTTATTATTTTTAAAGCATGTAACTGCTTGATGTTTAAATCTAAAGAAAATATAACTAGAAAAAATTCCACGCGGACCAGGCAGCAGACGGGACTCGAACCCGCACCCTTCGCAATCCGGGCGAATGCACTGACCAATTATGCTACCGCGGCCCTCACGGACCGCGTCGAAATTCTTTCTAGCTATTCTTAAGCTGCAGGGCAGCGCCCTGCAGCTTAAGAATAGCTAGCGCACCAACAATTATAGGTAAATTACCTATAATGCGAAGAGATGGCGCTGCCCTGCAGCTTAAGAATAGCTAGAAAGAATTTCGACGCGGTCCGTGAGGGCCGCGGTAGCATAATTGGTCAGTGCATTCGCCCGGATTGCGAAGGGTGCGGGTTCGAGTCCCGTCTGCTGCCTGGTCCGCGTGGAATTTTTTCTAGTTATATTTTCTTTAGATTTAAACATCAAGCAGTTACATGCTTTAAAAATAATAAAAATTATAACTATAATTGCTATTTCTTCTTTCAAATGTTTAATACTTGTAAAAGTATTCATTTGACATTGTGGGTTTACCTATAATGCGAAGAGATGGCGCTGCCCTGCAGCTTAAGAATAGCTAGAAAGAATTTCGACGCGGTCCGTGAGGGCCGCGGTAGCATAATTAGTCAGTGCATTCGCCCGGATTGCGAAGGGTGCGGGTTCGAGTCCCGTCTGCTGCCTGGTCCGCGTGGAATTTTTTCTAGTTATATTTTCTTTAGATTTAAACATCAAGCAGTTACATGCTTTAAAAATAATAAAAATTATAACAATATATTATCGTTAAAAAATTAAGGCGTACATACAAGATTTTTTACCTATGGCTTCAAAACATAATATTTGGCACTGAAAAGCAAAAAGCAAGCCTACATCAGCTCCCTGCCTCACAGAAATAAACTTTGCTCTCTCTCTTGATCGGTTTTTAGTATCAGAAAAGAAAAGTAAGTACTCTGCTCTTCAGAAGTGCTATTCTGTAAAATGTTCAAGAAAAAATAAAATTTTACATAACCGGAGTGCAGTAAAGAAATTTTACTGCACTCCTGCTCGCAGTCCATTAAATAAGGTAATGCTGTACTGATAGCAAGAACACATAATTGTATAAAAGATCAAAGATCTTGGTTGCTTTCCAATTACAGCATTATTGCGCATAATACGGCATAATGCTTAACGTTGAGTGTTCCAACTACAGCAAGTGTGATGCGTGCAATGGTACCAACTTAGAGAAAGAAAATTAACAAGTGTTTCTTCTTTAAGTTGTCATTGATCGAAATGTTTTATTTATATGTTATCGTTAGTAATATTATTTATTGTTGAAAAATTATTAAAGCTTTCGTTTCATTAAATAGTTTTTTTTAAATAATCAAAGTTCATTCAAACTGTTAAAAAATAAATATAAGTATGGATGAAGGTACAAACATTGACTTTTTTTTCAACACTGAACTTAGCGCACTCTGCTGGTGCATTTGAAAACTAATTCACGTTCCAATTAAGCATCAGCATAATTGGGCATTGTGCGGCACTGAGTCGCATTATGCTCTGTAATTGGAAAGCATACCTTATCTATCAAAGATTTTTTATTTCATGTTCAACCAACACATTCGTGAAAATTCGCCACGTCACATGTAAATATGATGTATACAGTGGTGGTCATATAATTAGAAACACTTCTTTTGAATAAAGAAAGTATAACTTCAACGTACAAGTAAATGTTTGTTAAAAATATACATTAAATAATCAATAATCATTCAATAATATAAACACTCATATATAAAATTCATTAAATGCATAAAATATAAAACATATCTTACTTTCAATTACAAAATGACTCATTTTGTATTACACATGTAGGCGTTTATTTTCTGTTACTGGCCGCTTGGACGCCTAATTACCTACAAACATTTTAAAACAGCATCGTAGCTTGTTCTTTTTTTGAAATGGGAGAATAACATTTCTTACTTGGCTTTTTCTACTATTTTGGCGGCAATTCAAAAATTAATCTGAATTTTATTTTGTTCAAAACTAGATAAATAATTGTTAATTTACATATAAACCATAAGTGGGAGTACAGAATAATAGCTTAGAATTTAAATTGTTCTGTTAAGAAAGATTTTAATGCAATTGATCATTATAAAACACATGGAACTGTTGAAACTGTTCTTAGAAAGGCCCGGCCAAGAAAAACCTCTCCCAGAGAAGATACGCTTAACGTTCTTGTTGCAAAAAAGACCAGATTAAAAATGAAGTTTTTTTCGCCTGATGACCCGAGAACCATCTCGTCAGGTCTGATACGCCGAAGATTAGTGGAAGCTACATTGTTTGTAAGAATCGCTCGAAAGGTACCGCTTCTTACCAAGCAACACCGAAGCAACGATTATTATTCGCTAAAAAATATGATAATTTGGACGGTACGAGAATGGAAAAAAAATGTTATTTTCAGATAAAACAAAAATAAATAAGGTAAATTCCGATGGAAAGCGCTATGTTAGACGTCCTGTAAACAGACCCCTCTTTCCCAGTGGGCACTTTGGGCAAGTGTCCAGGGCCCCGCGATCGATAGGGGCCCACTTCAGATCAAATACAAAGTCCCTAGTTCCTGTTAGATCACCAAACGGGGGGCCCATTATCCTAATATGTCCAGGGCCTCCAATAGGTCAAAGACGTCACTGCCTGTAAACAATGCTTTTAATTATAAATACACAAAGGGTATACTCAAACATAGGAGTATAGTCAAGGCGGTAAGATTAAAGTTTGGGGGTGTTTTCCGGATGTGGAGTTGGACCCGTTCGGAAGATAGAAGGTACAATGGATCAATGGCAATACAAAAATATCTTAGAGCACACAATGATTCCCTACTCGGACGATCACTTGCCTGTAACATGGATCTTTCCAAAGCACACGGCCAATAGCGTGAAATGTATCCTTAGCGAACAGCGTATATATATCCGTTTTAGACTGGCCAGCAAATACTCCGGATTTAAACCCGATAGAAAATCTCTGGTATACGATTCAAATCTTTGCTGGTATATTGTTAAAAAGAAAGTCTCAAACAAACGTAACACCAGTCAAAACGAAGTATATGAAGCAAGAACACATAAATTATATGAAAGATCAAATATCTTATCTATCTAAGATTTTTTTATATCATGTTTAACCAACACATTCGTGAAAATTCGCCACGTTCCATGTAAGTACGATATATTTATGGTATATAGATGTCTCTAGTGATGATAAAATATACTACTCACATGTTTAATTGTAAGGAGTAAAGGTTGATCAAAGTTAAAATGTTTATAACACTTCACAAAACAATATCATTTCTCGACTTAAAATTTCCAAGAACTCGTATTATGCAAATAGCTACTATTTATTTGAACTTGACATATGTTTCTATGGTGTATTCAGAATCTCAGAAATAAAAAACAGTACACACGTATGAATGATTTTCTAATAACAACTAAAATCTCAACGTACGCTATCGCCTCCAACATTTTTTACGCTTTTGTCCATGCATGCACATTATTGGTGCGCGTTTGAAAACAACTACTTACTTTTACTTTTTCACTTTGAATTGAAATCTTATCAGGCGACTGCCATTTCTCTAGCAGTAGGAATTAACATTAATTATTATGTTCAAATTTCAGGTTTTTAAAAGTAAAATTTTATATTTACGCATACTTACGTTAAGGTTGAATTCAAATTACAAAACTTATTTTTATTACGTGAGCGCGGAAATATATATACACAGTCAGGTCATAAGTATTGACACACAGTAAAAACTAGAATTCGGATTTCGAATTGTTCATGAAAATAAAAATGTATACCACGGAGTTGCATCGTTGCGGTTACGCGCCAATTCAAATTTTTGACACACTGAAAAATCTCTTATCTACTAGACAAGTCCGTCCGTCTGTCTGTGGTGCTGTTTCAGCGGCCAAACCGTAAGAGATAGATAAAGAGAATATTTAAGTTATAAGTTAAGAATAGTCTGATAAGACTACAAACCGGATTTGAGTAACGTAGCACTTCCGGTTTTCGAGAAATCACGTGATTTCTATATCTTGGAAACGATAAGAGATAGATAAAGAAAATATTTTAGTTATAAATTCTAAATATACTAATTAGGCTACAAATACATTTTTTAAATCAGGTTTTGGTGAACATTTGGTTCACTGGTTTGCTAGTTTGAATAAGCAAAAGATTATCGTACCATCAAACGATACAATGAAGACTAGTGTAGATATACATGTCAAGAAGTGGTCGCCCTCCGTCTGTTAGGACTCCAGCAGTAATTAAAGCTGTGAAGGCGCGAATTCAAAGAAATCCCAAATGTAAGCAGAAACTGTTGGCCCTTCAGATGGGGTTAAGCAGAACCACGGTGGAAAGGGTGTTAAATGAAGATTTAGGGCTTCGGGCATATCGAAGAAAAACAGGACATCGTTTGAATGCTCGTCTAATGGACCTGACACTGAAGAGATGCCGCGCTTTGTTGAAGCGGTACGCGGGAAAAAAAATCCGGAAATTCTTTTTTCGGTTGAAAAAATTTTTCACCATAGCAGCTCAAACATACTGGGTTCCCTGCTTAATAAGAGTGAGGGAAACGCGTTTTCCCTGCGAGAGTGAGGGAAAGTGATTTGAATTTAGAATGCTGCGAATTATCATTATGTACGAAACACGTCATTCGAAGTTCGATTTATCAAATTTCAGAACACCCAAACAATAAAACGTTCGGAAACTAATAAACCTTTAAAATGAAAATTATTTGGTAACGTTGTAATTAAATATCTAATTAAATATTAAAATATAATGAATACACTGAAATAAAGAAAAAAAATAAAGAAAATGTTGTGGAAAAAATACGAAGTAGTTATGCACCAATAATTTATATTTTTAAAAATCTTTATTGGTACAACAGCATACTACGGGTGCAGTTTCAGAACGTAACTTTAAAAATAGCGAGAAACAAAAATCAATATTATTTCTTTTTTCTTTTGTTTTTCGGTAAGTAACTACTTACAATTAGTGTTGCATATCACAAATTCATAAAATATGAGTGAGTCTAGTGACGAAAACAGCAATTTAACACCTGAAGAATTAAAACAACAAGTGTTGAATGCTGAATTCAGTTTTCTTCCTCAGAAATCATGTGATAGATATCTGAAAACCTATGATGTTTTCAATTAATGGAGACTTGAAAAGGGCGCGAACACTTTCTCGGAGAATGTATTATTGTCGTACTTCATAGAATTATCACAAACGAAGCAATCACCTACAATGTGGAGTATTTATTCGATGTTGAAAGCTACAATAAAGACAAAACATAATGTTCATATTGAAACTTATCCCAAAGTTATTGCATTTTTGAAAAGAAAGTCAGTAGGACACAAATCTAAAAAGCCCAAAATTTTTTCAATCTCTAATATTGAAAAATTTCTTAATGAAGCTCCGGACTGCAATTTTCTCGCTGCAAAAGTAAGTTACTGCCTATATAGGCAGTGACATAGACATATGTCTATATTTAATTAGTAATATATGTGCACGTACGCTAACCATTTTCGCTAATATTTACTAAAATACGAGTTACATACGAGTATGTATAGAAAGTGGGTAAATACTACGTTTTGTGTGTCATACATTTTAATTACTAACATTTTACTTATATTATATTTTTATTACAGGTTTATACTCATTATTGGAATAAATGAAGCATGCCGCTCGAACGAACTGTTAAATCTGACTTCATCCATTGCGACGAGCGCTTCCGATTATCGTACAGTATCCACTTTACGTCACAAGTAATGATTCGATTTCAAATTGTGTCGATTGAGCAAAGTAACAGAGCAGTCGATGCGTGTTCTCATGTTCCGATTCACTCAATTCATGAGGAGTATTGATTGGACATCGTTCAAGTTTTTTACCGATTTCTCGATTTGCTTCAAGTGGATAAATACAGTATTGTCACTTACCGAAGCCTGCAGCTATCTCTAAAGTGCTTTGTGATGGATTCGCTTCCACAATAGCCTTTAATTCTTCATTTTCCACTTTGGTCTCCGGTCGTCCAAGGCGTTGGTTCTGAAGGTCGAAATTTCCAGAACGAAAACGTTGAAACTTTTGGGTGACGTACCGTGCTTTCTTTTGCGACATATAATTAATCCGTCGAGCTGTTTCTGCAGCACTGGTGCCACGGTAGAACTCGTTCTCGTAAATATACCGATATTTCATGTTTTCCACTGTGCGGTAATAAGCGACGTCAAAGAAAAAAATAATGAGGAAAAAAAAAATGAATGACTGTTTTCAAAAATCAAATGTATCAGTTAAATGAATTTATAAATTTGAATTTGGAATTCTTAACCAAAGAGGAGATATTTCAGATCAAAGTGGTGAATACGACAAAACGCTAATTTCCTATGTAAGGACCTTATATTTTTTGCCGCAATTGACAAGTATGCCGACATTATATAGTCAAGCGACGGGAGACCAATAATTTACCTATGACTATAGGATGTTAACTATCAAAAAGAAAAATGTTCAAATAGATATTGTACATCATAGCTACCATCTACCATTTTTCTGAAGGAAAAGGAAGGAAGAAAGAAAAAAAGGGAATTATCAAAATCAGACTACTCTGTAAAAAGTTATGCGTGGTTATACATAAAGAAATACAAATATACGCGTCGACTTGAGAACCTCCTCCGTTTGTCTTGTCGGTTAAAAACAAGCGAGGAATGAGTCATACCGCTGATCGCTCGCATAATTTAAGTATGAAAAGAGCCCGCCACATATCCTCGATCTGCTCATCTTCATTTCATTTGGTAAGAGGTTGAAAAGTCAAAATATTAAGGATTATTTTAAAAAAACTTAAAATCTAAATATCTCCTTAACGGTAAAGTTTCGGACACCATGTTATAGGACCAAATCCATCAGTAATGACCTGAATAATAACCTCCTTT